GGCAGGGACACCCCAGCCTCTGGTGGGCCTTGGGCTCTGACCGGCAGTCCCCATCCCCCTAGGGGTCTCAGCCTGCTGCCCCGACCCCAGCCCGGTGCTCTCAGTGGTCCGGCTCCAGCACCCACTCTGACAGCCACTGCAAGCATGAGGCCTGCTGCGCCTCTGTCTCGGGGGGTTTGGCAGGGGGCGATGGGGGCTGGCCCGACCCAGGCAGGGGCATGGATGGACTGCAGGGCCCAGGGCCCTCTTCTGTCGGGTTGGGGGCGGCTCGCAGGGCCTGGATGAGCTGGTCCAGCGGCTGTACCAGACTGTGTGGGCTCCAGCAAGGGTCAAGGGTGGGCACGAAGGGGTCAGAGGTGCAGACCTCCACACACTCGGTGCGTGTGGGGATGCGCAGGTAGAAGGCGTGCAGCATCATGCGGAAGGGCTGGTCCTCCCCGCCTGACGCCTGCCCGTACGTCAGGTCCCCCACGATGGGGTGACCGAGGGCACTGCAGTGCACGCGCAGCTGGTGTGTCCGGCCTGCGGTAGGAGGGGGCCGTCAGGCAGGGCGTCGCCCTCCCTCTCCTGTTCACATCACACCCAGCACCACTCCCTGGCTGCCTCAGAGCCTCATACCACCCCTGGGGACAACAGCCCTGCCTGTTTTCTGCTACAGAGAAAAACATCAGAGGTCAGAACAGGAGTTGACTTCTAGCGTCACCCTGGTGGAGGCAGGGCCAAGGTGGCGCTCGGTCTGCTGGAGAGCCCAGGATAGCCTACCCACTGCCCTCACATCTAGGGGGCTGAGACCCTGTGTGGAGGAGGGGCCACAGGATGTGCAGCTGAGCATGTAAGCTCAACTCAGCCAGCAAAGCTTGCGGCAGCCCCGTGCAAGCTACTCTGCCTCTGTGCCTCGGTTTCCTTTCCTGCAAAACGAGCACACCGCAATGCTCTGTGCAAGAAAACGTGACACCAAGTGTTCACCACACCACTGGCGGGACCCTGCCAGCAGGCAACCAGGGGCCTGGGCAGCTTCCTGGCCCCGCCCTGGACGCACCTGTAAGAGGCCGCAGCAGCACTTTGGACACGGGGTCCCCTGCATACAGCCCAAGCTCCAGGACCACCAGCTCCGTGAGGCTCGGTTTCGGGTTCTCACAGCCTGGGGTGAGGAAGGCAAGCTGTGACGCTTGGCTGGGCCAGCCCTGGGGCCCCAGCCCACTCCAGCCCAGGTCACCTGCCCACCCAGGGTCCCCACAGGGTGATGTGTGCCCCATGGCCCACCCCTGCCCCTCATACCCTGTGTGCCCTCGATGCACATGGTGTGAGCCCGACCCTCTGTGCTGTTCCTGCCGATGGCATAGGTGATGGTCATCTGGCTCTCCTGGACATGTCCTCGCACCTGCCCAGGAAGGGGATACATGCTGCTCATGGGGGCACCCACTACTGCTGGGGACCCCGCCCAACGCCCGGGGCCTGCTGAAGTGGGCTGAGTCAGAGTCCCCAGGCCCCAGGGACTGGCCAAGCCTTACCAGAGCCAGGTAGGCCTTGGTGACACGACGCTCCTTGAAGCACTTGTAAGCGCTGCCTGCGGCTGCCTTGTTCAAGGCCACACAGAGCGCTCCGCTGGTGGAGAAGTCCAGCTGGTGACAGAACCTGGCATGGGGCAGGGGATCAGCCGTGGCTGGACCAGAGGCTGCTGCGGGTTCCCTGTGCCCTGCTCCCGCGTACCTGAACCCATAGTACGTGTCAGGATCAGCCAGCTCGGGGAAGCGGTGCCGCAGCTGCTTCTGGAGGGTCAGCGTCTCCCGCCAGGTCTTGCTGTCGATGCGCACATCCCAGTGCTTGTTCACCACCAGGAAGTCCTGGCTCCGGTACACAATACATAGGTTCTCCACACTGCCCGGCTCCATGGCGGGGCCTGCGATGCAGAGCAAGTGTGTGGAGCCGGCAGTCAGGGCTGCCCAGCTCCCATCAGGAGCCTGCCCAACGGGCACAGACAGCCCCCCACTCCCCAGGCCCCAGTCTGAGACCTACCGTGAGTGTGCACCTACTGGGCCCTTTACTACCCTCACTTTTAAGCCTAGCTGGAGGGTATAAGCTGGGGTGGGGAGTCTGACCAAGATCGGGGGAACCAGGGTTTCTCTGGGCTCCAACTGCGGGGCCTCCCGCCCAGACTCAGGCTTCGAGAGAAGCAGTCTTGCTGTCAGCCCGCCCTCACGGACCTCTCGCAGACACGTTACGGATGCGCGACGGGGATCTTCTCCTGAGTGGGGAGGCGGGGCGAGGAGAAGGACTGCCGCGCCCCCACGGCCGGGGGGCGGCCCAGGTCAGCCGAGCGCAGGGGGGCGCCCGCCCACTCTCGCCCACCCACACCCCCCCACGCAGACACCCCCTCTCCTGCCTCCCCGCCGCGGAAGCCTCCGTCACGGGCATCTGATGGGCAGAGGCCGAGGAGTTCCGAGGGGACCCCGGCTGCGAGCACCTCCCACGCCCCCGCCCACTCCGGAACCGACCTGCAGCCAGACCCCGCCGTCCGGGTCCCGATGCCGCTGCCGGGCCGTGGCTCCAGCCCCCGCGACTCCGCGCCTCGCGACCCTGCCACCCCGGAGCCACCGCTCGGGCCACCGAGCCGCGCCTCGCCGGGCCC